GCCGCGCCGCCCGTCGAGGCAAAGGCCCCCGAGGCCCAAGGGGCCGCTCCGCTTTGGAGGCGGTCCTCGAGCATAACGGCCCCAGCGCTCGGGATCGGCACGCGCCGGGTCGCGGCGCCGGGCGCGCCCCTCGGGCGCCTCGGGCACTGGATTTGCCCGCAGCCCGCGTGCTGGCCGCCGCACGAGCTCGCCCAGAGGTCTGGACGGCCCGCGAGCAGCGCATCGCTGGAGGAGCGCCGCGGCCGGCGGGACGCTGCGGCGAGGCCAGCTGCCGTCAGAAGCGGGACCGCCCGCTTGCGGAAGAGGCGGCGATCGCGACCGCCCGCGGCATCGCGGCCATCTGCAGGAAATGGCCGGCGCGTGCGCGCTGGCCCAGGCAGGTGCCGCCCACCGCGACACACGCGGCCCAAGGCGGTTCGGTGGACGGACGTCAGGAACCAGGGCATTGCGAGAGCCGTGACGCTGTGGAAGGATATCCTCGAGCAGGAAAAGGGTCGCACATACCGCCTGCTGGATAAGCTTGGAGTGAGGGGTGGCCGCGCGCACCTGGAGACTATGCTCAGGAGATGGTCTCACAGGACCCTCGAGGTACATGCGCGCAACACAGGCAATTTCCTGGAATGGGCCAAGGGCCAGAGCAGCCACGCCGACGAAGAGCCCCAGGACGCCGCAGTGCTCACGCTGGTGGGCTACCTGCAGCACCTGCGCGAGGCAGGAGCCGCCCCGACTGTGCCGCGGGCACGGCTGGCTTCCATCGCGTTTTACTCTGCCATCGCCGATTTAGAAACGGCGTACCCTGTCGACAACATCATGGTTACAACTGCGGCGGCAGCACACAGGCGCGATAACCGGACTTACACCGTTGCCGAGGTAAGGCAGATAGAGGCGGCCATCAATTCCAGCAAGGATCTCCTTGTCCGAATAACGCTTTCCAACGAGCTGCGGAAACTTTTCGGTGGCCTGCGGAACGACGATTCCATTTGGGACTAACCAGCGCGCTGGACGACGGCTGGGAGCTTCCCTGCGGGGGGGGTCCTTTACGGAGTGTGCGACGAGACGAAGGCGACTGAGGCCGCGAGCTGCCGCATCGAATCGCCAATGCCCTGGGCGGTGCCCGCAAGAGGAGTGTCCGCGATCCCGTCGAAGTGGGCCAAACGATGCCGCGACGACCTGCAGAAGCTTGGGCTCATGGGCGCTGAATGCGCCGTGCCGTCACCCTGGGCGGTGCGCGCCAGAGAGTCACCGCCGGGAGTCGCGACCGCAGACGAGTGGCTCACGCAGATCCGCTACGCCCTGCGCGCGGCTGGACTGGAGCGCGAGACGGCGGCGACCGTGACGCTGCACACTGCAAAAAGGACGCTGCTCACGTGGGCGGGTACCAGCGGCCGCTTCGGCGAGCCAGAATTGGCCATCCTGGGACACCACCGCAGCGCAGGGGTCGCGAAGCTCGTGCGGGCGTACAACACGTCAGAATTGTCCGTGCCTGTTCAGAAGTTCGCGCAGCTCCTCGAGGACATCGCAGAGGACCGTTTCTCGCCGGACGCACCGCCCGGTCTACAGTGGGCGGGTTTGCCGGCAGCCGCGAGCTCGCAACCGGCGCCAGCGCAGACCGCTGTGCAGGCGCGGCCCGCCGGGCCGCGACCAGGCCCGACACCCCCCCGGGGGCCAGGCCCGGATCCGTGCGGGTACATCACGGCCACCCCCCCCCGCACGTCCGTGCTCTGTCGGTTTCGCTTGCCCCGGCTTTGGGCTGGGTCGGGCACGGGCTTGCGGAGCTGACAGAGTCGGGCGGAGGGGCGGGGGGGGAACTTGACCGCCGGCGTGGCCATTTTGGGTCAAGCGCGCTCCGCGTGCCCCGGGGGGGGGGCTTGCCTGTGGAAATCCTTTCTCCCACCCACCACCCACGAAAGGGGGGGGGAACCAGCAGATAAGCTGAGTTCGGGGTGGGCGCGGCGCTGGAACGGGGACATCGCGACTCCCAGGCGGCAGCCGCGTGACCTGAGCAGGCCCGCGGCCCGACGCGTGTGCAAGCGTCGGGGGCCAGGCCCGCAGGGCTAACCGGGCCTGCCCCTCTCCCTTGATAGGTGCCTGCGCGGCGCGAGCGCCCGCGAGGCCAGGACTGCACCTCCCCATGCTTCGGCAGTCCTGAAAGGGCACCGCTCCGCTCCCCCCCCCGTGGTCGTCCGTCCTCGTCAGCGCCGCCCCCCTTCGCTGGTTTAGACCCGGGCCGACGCCCCGGGAACCGCGCCCGCGCCCGCTGTGCGAGGCTGTGGTTTTGGGCTGCTGCCTGGCCTTGCGGGCTAGGCTGGGCCCATAACCACCGCTCGCTGGCGGGCGTTGGGGTGGTCTCCGGGAACGCAGGCGTGGGTATTTGCTGGCGCGGGGGGTGGGCAGGTGGTGCTCCGCTGCGAGGGGGCGTGGGGGGCCCCGTCCCGAAGGTGGGGGGGCCGCTGGGGGAACGCGGGTGGGGGGCACTGGAGAGGGGTGGGGCAATTGCCGTGTAACGCACGCGCGCGCGCGTCGCTTGCTCAGAGTGCGCGCCAATGGGGGTTCCCCCCCTCCCCCCCCGCACGTCCGTGCTCTGTCAGGGCAGAGCCGCCCCCCCAGCAGAGCTGAAACTCAAGAACTGAGGCTCAGGCTATATTTGAGGGTCTGTGAAACTCACGCGTTGGATCGGATGATGGTTGTGGTGGTGGTGATGATGATGGTGATGATGATGATGCTGATGATGATGATGATGATGGTGGAACTGACGATGGTGACGACTTTGATGATGCTGATGGCCTTGATGCCGATAATTCTGCTGCTGCGGATGTTGCTGCTGCTGCTGCTGAAGGTTATGATTATGCTTATGATGGTGGGGATGACACGGACGATTATTGTGTAGCGACAGGTTCCAGCGGCATGCCCTGGTCCCATCGCCAGCACTCTAGCTGATGGCGTTGGGCTCGTCTTCTACCTGGCGGGCTCCATCTTCGCCTCCAGCTGCCCGCGCCTCGACGGTTTTAGCTGATGGCGTTGGGCTCGGCCTTCGCTTTCGGCGCTAGCTTCTTGCCCTGATGCCAGCGCTGTAGCTGATGATGTTAGGCTCGTCCTTCGCCGTTCGTTCTCCCTCTTCGCCTCCAGCTTCTGGTACCTCGTCGGTGGTAGCTGATGGCATTGGGCTCGTCTTTCGCATCTTGCTCCCGCTTCGTGCCCTGACCCCAGCACTCGTAGCTGATGACGTCGGGGTCGTCCCTCGCATGTTGGGCAACGCTGTACCCAGCGTTGTGGCGAACCAGATTTGGCTCCAGCTTCGCCTCGTGCTTCTCGCAGAGGATAGCCGAATCCTCCTGCCGCTGCTCGCAGTTTTCGCATGCCGCTTTGCCCGCACTGTAGCTGACGACACAGGGCTCCAACTCCGGTGGCTCGCACCTCCGTAGCCATTTTGGCTCGAGCTGTCTTGGCTCAAACGTTTTCCTCTCGATTCCATTTTTTCTGGAATCCTCCTCCCGCTGGGCTTCCGTGCGATGTCCGTCGCCGTTGCCGCGCCGCCCGTCGAGCGGACCGCAGCCGCGAAGGACGAGTTGGCAGTGCAGGAGGCGGTTGCGGCGGCCGCGAAGGCCAGCCAGGCCCCGCTGTGCCCGCGTCGGCTGGTGCTCTTCTGCTGCAACCTCTTCGTAGGGCTCATCGGGTCTCAGCTGATCCCAGAGTGGATGGGCGCCATCACCTATGGCACGTGGAAGGCGGTCGTCAAGGTGGTCACGATGTTCTGTGTGTCCTATATCATGATCTACGTCGGATTCGAGTTCGACGTCGACACGTCCCGCCTCAGCCAGTATGGGCGCGAATACCTGATTGTCATGTCGGCGGCGGGCATCCCGTGAATCTGCTGCGCTGTCTATTTCATGTACGCGCTGGGCCAGTTCGGCCTGCCTTGGCAGCAGGCGCTCATTGCAGTAAGGTTCGCGGCGCCGACTTCGGCGGGCATCCTCTTCACCATGCTCGAGGCTGCTGGGATGAAGGAGACTTGGATATTCCAGAAGCTTCGCATCCTGGCCATCTTCGACGACTTGGACACTCTCCTTCTCATGGTCCCGCTGAAGGCCATCTACATCGGCCCGAAGTGGGAGCTTGCCGTCGAGCTTGTCTTCGTCGCTATCATCTGCATTCTCATGGCTCGCTTTATGCACAAGCTGACGGTTCCCATTTCGTGGCCATATCTTTGTCTCTATGCGGCGGGGGTCACTTTGGTTTGTGAGATGGTGCACTTCTTCACCCATAGTCAGGCTGTCGATCCCAACAACGTCGCCGATACGATCCATTTTGAAGTGCTGTTGCCAGCATTCACAGTAGGATGTATCACCAAGCATGAGAACGCAGAGCACGACGGTCACGATATTCATCAAAGGCCTGACAGTCTCTCGCTAAGGTGTCTCTGTTCCCCTGGCACTACTGGCACGGCGGACACAGTGACGATGTGCATCTCCGCCGTCTTTATGGTCCTCGTTGGAGTCTCCATGCCGCCACTGTTCAGCAGCTCCCTCGAGGACGACGGGCTCCGCCGTCTCGGTTCGGACGAGACCATGGCGCCGCACCTCATCGTGATTCACGTCATCGCCTGTTCGTTCCTCATGATCTTAGGCAAGATGTTCCCTGCAGCATGCTACAAGTCTGAAGTGAACCTGAAGACCCGAGTTGCCCTCGCCGTGGCGATGATGCCACGCGGGGAGGTGTCTGCGGGCATCATCGCCAATGCCCTCGCTCTGGGCATTACGGGCCCGCCCATGGTCATCGGTATAGTCTGCCTCGCCCTCAACATGATGATGGTAAGCGTGTTCATCTGCACTGTGAAGACGCTCGCCAAGGAGACGGCGACGTTGGCGGACAGCCAGGCGGACGAGGGCGTCCCAGCCGTTTGCGCCTTTGGCGGCGCGGAGGACGCTGCCGTCCCCAGCTGCGGCCCGTCGCCGGTGGACCTGGAGATCTGAGGGGGGTGCGCGCCGCCATGCTTCGCGGGGCGGGCGGGCGGGCGGGGAGGGGGCAGGGCGGGGGGGTGACGATCTGGAGGTTTGGGAGGATCACGCTGCGCCCCCTCCTTCCTCCCGCCTCGCGCGCGCAGGCGGAGCATCGACTCCGTCCTGGCTCCGTGCCTGGTGTTGCCTGGGCATGCCCGCTCTGCGCCACAGCAGCCAGGACGTGCAGAGCTTGCATGCCGAGGCCTCCGTTCCTCCATCCTCTCGGCGGCCCGCTCGGGCGTCGAGCCGCCGTACCCTCGGGGCGCACGGCGCACAGCGCACAGCGCACGGCCCCCGTCCCTGCTCTGCTCTGCTTTGGAGCTTGGCGCACGGCCGCCCTGACGAACGAACATCACTCCCTCCCCCGCCACGGTTCCTCGGTTCCGCTTCTCCTCAAGTTCCTTCGAGTATCGCAGCACCGACGAGGCTTTGTACCGCGAGCGGCGAGGACGCCGTGGGCCGTGCGGCCTCCCATCTGTGAGCATCGCTCACGGTTGCGCAGAATAGTTGTGTTTTTCTGTCTCGCCGTCAGGGGGTATGCATTGTTGGTGCAAGATGAATGCGCCGGAGCGTGCGCGGAGGCAGGGACATGCCGCGCCTGCGTCCAACTGCGCGCTGTGCTACGCGCGCTGAGGCGCCGTTGCGCTTGACTGCGCCTGTGTATGTGCGGGTTGGCGTATCGGGTGCGCCTGCCCCAGGGCGCCGGCTGGCGTTGATGTTTTTTTTTGTTTTTTGTTTTTCTCCAGTTGCGCTCAGGCTATAATCGGCTATTTCACACGGGGTGCTGCTCGCAGAGAGACCTCGTGCGGGTCGGGTCAGTCAGCGTGCGATTTCAGCCCGTGTGCTCGTTTGCCAGAGTGCAAGCTTTCCTTTGCATCTCCACCTCAATCCACCTATTCAGCCACGTCGCCGCCTCAGTGAATATGAACAGTTGAGGCGCGTGCCAGCCGATGCAGGCAGTGCTACCTCGCTGCGCACCTCTTCTCAGCTGTGCATTCACCAGGTGGCGCGATCTACCTTCAGCTTGTAGCCTGCTGCGGGTCTGACACTTGACTCGCCCGGCACGTTGTCACTGGCTGGGCCGCCGCCTCCCAACGCGGCGACTTCGCCGTAAAGGAGAGGGGCGACGCGAATGATTGAATCATCAGGCGCCCGTATTTCACGGAATACGATCGCGAATGCGACGTCCGACTGCTGGCGAGGGTGGGCACTTTCATGCAGGGGCGACCAGAATGACCAAGTCAACGAGTCGACCAACATCACGGGCAACTGTGGCCTGGACTTGCATTGATTATGTCGTCGCTGTCCGCGTTCTCGCAGATGACAGACAACGGCGTGCAGGTGAGAGGGCTGCCTCCGAGAATTATGTTCGTGGGGTAGTGGGCGAGTGACAGTGAAGCACGCATATGAATCAGGGATGCTGTGTTCAATCGTTCACTGTTTGCGCCCCGTTAGCCTGTGCTAGCAACTTAGTATGAGGCTTCGTTGGTTGCAGCATTTTCTGCGTGTGGTGACCGACGAGGCGCAACGTGTTCGTTGAAACACCAGATTCGAACTTTTGTACATCCTGCCAGGTTCTCCCACCAGTTTTTCCATCGGGGCTCAAGGGAGCTTTCATTCGTGCCTGTCATGGGGTTTGAGAGAGCTCCCAGTCGCGCCGTTCAACTCATCCGACACACGTTTGACACCCGTCTGATAAGACGAGTTCTTCCTTCTTCACACCGATGCCTTACATTCATAGTTCCTTCCTCTTCCTCCTCCTCCTCCTCCTCCTCCTCCTCCCCGCCCGCCACCGCCCCCCCGCGCCTCGGCCCTCGGGCAGCCCGACGGCTCCCCGCCGTCTCCGCTTGAGAGGGGCCTCCGGGCATTGGGGTTGAGCGTTGCCACGCGGGCTGCTGCACGCCAGGCCCGCCTCCCTCCCTCCCCGCTTCCGCGCTCCCTCCCTCCCTCGCTGCTTGTCCTTCCCCTCCCCCTCCCCCGCCCTCTCCCGCGCTCCCTCCCTTCTGCTGCTGCGGGCGGCTGCGAAGGTGGTGCATCTGCGCCGCCCGCCCCATGGCTCCCGGTGCGATCCGAGCACGGTCTGCGCGCAGCCGCTGGCCGACGACGCCTCCCTCGCCCGACAGCGACCGGCCGCTGGCGCCCAGTCGCCCGCGAGGTATGGCCCCGCCATCATCAAGCTGCAGGTAGGCGGCCGCTCGCCGCACCTCGCCGGCCGCCCCTGCGCGCGTTGGCCGCCCGCGGGCTCTTTTGGGGCTGTCTTGGGGGGCCATTTGGGGCTCCCAGGGACAACGTTCGGGGTGGAGGCTTTCCATGTCGTCAGACGGTGTCGTCGGTCCTCGGCGGTTTTCTGGCCTCGGTATGCCTTTCGGCGGCTTCGCTTCGCCGAAAGCGTTCCCGAAGTGCCCGAATCATCCCGAACGGCCGCCTGAGGCCCGTGTTTTGGCCCGCAAACCGCTCGGTTCAAGGGAAACGTTTGGAGGGGGAACGCTCAGAGGGGGAACGCATCGACCCCGAATCGCCCATTCATCGCCGATAGGGTTGAGACTGGGGAGGAGCACCTGGGTTGCGTCATTCGGCATGTCGGATTTCGTACATACAACGTGCTTTCCTTTTTTGTAAGCGCATCGAATTCTCGCTTCAACTCGTGCTCGTGAATGCGTTTTCTTTTAATGCATATTTTTTATTGTAGCGGAGCTTTTCGCTTGAGCGGATCGCCTGCAAGTGGATCGGTTGCTCTCTATGCGCGCTGACCACTCCATCATCCAGTTTGGACGAGCTCAAAAAACATGTTTAGCGTCGAGGAGGGCGAGGGTGAGGGGGGGGCACAAAAAAGGATGGGGGCGCGGGAAAGGGCGCGAGAAGGGCGCAAGGACAGAGGGGGGGGGGGAGGTGCAGGAGGAGGACTACATGACTTGTGTTGTCGTGCCTCCCGAGACTGGGGAAAGGGGTGGAAGCGAGGCCGTTTTCAGCGCCGCGCTGGTTCCGACGTGTTCCCGCGGGGACCGAGGCCGCGTCTAGCGACTGCGCCTCGCCGCAAGCCTCGACGCACGCCAGGGCCGACAACATGCAAACGTGCAGGGCTTGTGTGCACCATGGGGTACAGGGCTTCGCAGGATGCGGGCTGACGGCGGGGTCGCCCCATGCCGAATCTCTGTGGGTTCATGCAGCAGATCCGACCGAGACCTCGCCCTCCCTGGGCGCTGCCACCCGCGCAACTGTCGCCCCGTGCGCGGGTTCCTGGGAAGTCCAACGGAATGGTGGCGCGCGCAGGCCCGCATGAGAGTTCGTGTCCATTCCTAAATCGGAAGAGCTTGCTAGATGGTTTTCGGAATGTCCTTGGGTCTCATCTCGTCTCGTCTCGACCTTTGGACGACTGTACATGTGTATTTTTTTTGGCCCCGCTGCGCTCCCACCCACCCAGGGTGGTCCAAGCTCGAGAGAGGAGTGCGCAGGACCGTGCATGCTCCGTGGCGGGGCAGTGGCCCCCGCAAGCATTCAATGATTCGCCTTGGCCAATCGACTCCTTTTGTCAAACTATTCTGTGTGTTTGATGTGTACGCTTCGCGTGCTGCCTCCCCTGAGAAAGGGTCGGGGTAGAGATGAATTGGCCATTCCTACACACACACATATATATATATATCTATATATCCGAGGCAACTCCTTGCCGTGGGTCTCGAGGCTCATGGAAGATGCCGAGTTGCTGCGCGTCCAGTGCTGCCCTCCCGCCTTCCCCACCCCTCGGGACGACCCGGGTCAGTGGGAAACTCTGTTACGAGACGAGCCGGGTTGGAGTGCGCTTGTGAACAAGCTCTTCTTTGTGGAGTCGTCCTGCGACCGAGAAGCGCACCCCGACCCGCGCGCCCAGGGTCCGACTTGGAAGTGTGCTGCATGCGCCTTGTCGTTCGCTTCAGAACGGGCTCTCAAGAGCCATCGCCTGGCCAAGCGCGGTGACAGGGCTCAAATTCGTAGGTACCTCTGTTCTTCAGTGTGTCCGTCTTGCGGTACCGATTTTGTCCAGAGGATCTGCCTTCTTGCGCACGTTTCCGACTCCAGACGGCCTCGCTGTCGCGAGTGGATTCTGTGGAACGTTTCGCCTATGTCCGCGGCGAACGTCTCTCGCCTGGATGCTGAAGATCAGCGTCTCCGCAGAAAAGCCCAGCGAGCAGGCCACAGTCATCATTTAGCTGTGGCGCCTGCCCGAACGGCCAGTGGAAGAATCATTGGCCGGGTGAATCGGTGAGACTTTGCATGCGTTTCCTTCTTGAGGCTACCAACCTTGCGCAATCCATATATATATATATATATATATATATATACACACTCGTACAGACACATCGCGTGCATTCAGGATGCATTCGTGGGCAACCATAATAAACATACGCTACCAACGGACATCTCGCAAACACCACAGCACATACGTCACGGTGCCATGCATGAACATGTTCTTATCCATCGTGCGTCCACACAATCATAAGGAATCTTCTCTCCCCGAGATGGAAGAGCGGAGTTGCCTACAGGACGGGGACTGAATTTCTTCACACCTCCATTTCCTCAACCAAAGGGTTGTTTGTCTATGATCTGTGTCTAGCCACGGTGTTCATCTTGTGTCTCCTCCTGCTGTGTGGTGGAGGGGAAGCGCAGGAGGGCGGTGGTCATCCTTTACCTCACGGCGTCTCTGAGCTCTGCGCGGGCCTCGTCAAGAGGCGGCTGGCCTTCCGTCGCCTGCTGTATGCAAGCGGGCACCGACGCTACGGAAGAGCGCGCCCCATAGCATGCCTAAGATAAAGACGAGGACGAGGACGAGCAGCAGCAGGAGGCCCAGGACGCACGGCCCCCCGACCCATCCTCGCCCGCAGAGCGCCGTGGATTCCGGGGACATGAAGGCCGTCCTGGCGAAGGAGCGCCGCGCTTGAGCGAAGCTCCGATCGCCGTCGTTGCCGGGGTGGGTCATCGTCGTCCGTCGTCCAGAGCACGACGTCTGGCGTCCTCCTTTTCTTCCTTCT